GATTCATGGCTGGGCTTTGCTTTCTGTGGTTTTTAAGCCTCTGGGCGTTGCACTCCGTGTTTCTGGGGGAGCCGTGAGCGTGGCCCCGCTGGCACGCGCCGCGTTTGGATTTGCATTTCCATGCCCAGCGCTGTCAACTTGCTTTTTTTAGCCTCAAATGCACCTGGCTCCTGCTCAGCCCGGGGCGTGCCAGGCTCTCCCAAACGTGCCCTCAAACTCCTGGAACGACCGGGAGGAAGTTGTTGAGGTACAGACGGATTTGCTGCCCGGGAATGGCCTCGGTTTTGGGATGGCTGTGACTCTCCCTTTTGGGGGGAAAAAAAAAAAAAAAAATCATTCAGTTGATAGAATTCCAGCTACAATACAGATATTTTTAGGGTTATTGTGAGGAGATATTCTGGTTGGGCTACAAAGGGGAGTGTGGCTGCAGGTGAGTAGCAAAGCGAGCTCTGAACCAGTTGGACGCTGGGAGGTTGGATTCAGCTCCAGCAGCAGAGCTCCGACTAATTTTGGATGAAACTGGGACGTTGTGAACTGCATCTGTTGGAAGGAGCTGCCATTCCATAGGAAGTCAGATAATCCCAAATCTTGTGGTCATCCTGCAGCACTTCCAGAGCTGAGAAATTGAACTCTGGTGGTCGTTTTCCCTCTATTTGTGAGTCTTTGGAGCTCCTGAAATCTGGGGGTTCCTTAGTGGCAATAATAATATAATAATAATTATAATAGTAATTTCTGACTCTTGCTGCTTTTATATGAGAAGGTGTTTGCTTGACTTGGTGGGTTTTCTGAGGTATTAATGTTATTTTTACATGAACAAGGGAGTTGTTACTGATTTCCTCAGGTGAAGTATTATTTCCCAGGAGGTGAAATGTCACTTCACTTTTTTCCCCACAGAACTTCTGTAGCTGGAAGGGGCAGTTGTGTGACAGGGCAGGCCCAACCCTGAAAAATGACACAGATTATTTGTCAGGGCTTGGTCCAGGCTTGGAAAAATTCAGGATATCAGGCACACAACCTGGAGGTGCCCATTGAAGGACAGGACATGGCTCTCAGTGCTCTGGGCCAGGGGACAAGCTGGGGATGGGGCACAGGGTGGACTGGATGATCCTGGAGGACTTTTCCAAACTGGGTGATTCCACAACTCTGTGATTTGAGCATCAGGTTTGAAGGTGAGAAACTGCCGAGGCCCAGCCTGTCCTTGCTTTTGCTCTGGATCCCGGATAGAGCAGCAGGAATCGGCTTGGCTGGATCCACCACCTGCCTGCAAGGCTTTATTTCCCCGTTAATGATTCCCAAAGCTCTGCACGATCCCAAAAGCCCGGCTTTCTCCGAGCACAGACGGCGATACTGTGGCCTTTTCCTTGCTGAATTCCACATCATTTCCCCCCGAGAGCCGGCTCAGTGTGTGCCCCGGCCTCGGCTTTGAGCGGATGAATGTAGGTTAGGTGTGAATGGGAATGAAATATCGGATAAAAATAACGTTGGGCTATTTGGAAATCGGGAAAGAGGAGAAAAAAACCCCAAGCCCCTGCCCTGCTGCTCGTGCTCTGCCCAGCTCAGCACAGGAGGAGGAGGCAGCTTTTCCTCCCTTTCATAGGGGTCTGGATGACTTTTCCCAGCCCTGCCTGGCTTCCTTGGTGTCCATATCCCTGTTTTTTACCCCAGATGTGCTGTTTTCCCTCTCTGAAGTGCCTCTGGAACAGTAACAAGAAGCAACCAGGGAAAGGGTTTTGCATCCAGTGCCCTTTGGGTGGCACCGGGAGTTCCAGGGAAATCTCTCTGGAGTTTGTTACCAAACCTGTTTAATCCTGATTTTTTTTTGGGGGGGAAGCTTGAGGGGACACCTCCTGCTCCTCCCAGAGCCGGGGAGCAGCGTTTGGCCGTGGCTGCCTCTCCAGGCAAAGAGCACTTGCTCCTTTTTCAGTAATGAATCCGTCCCGTCCTCGCAGGGACTCTGGGATATATAAACAATCGGTGGTGGATCACTCTGTTTTCTCTTCCGTGGCACTGCCTCTGTCTGGAGATGGGGATGGGGCAGCCCTGATGGGAGTTGGATTTTAAGCACATTTTAAGCACATTTTAAGTACATTTTAAATACATTTTAAGGGCAGACGTAGAAAAAACAAAGTGGAAAGCGGCGTGGTTTTCCCTGCAGGAATATCATCGTCTTTCACTGAGGGGCAAGCGATGCTCTGGGTTGGTACAGTCAGTGGTACAAAAGCAGCTGGGTTTTTTTTCCCCCCCCCAAATTCTCCCATCCTTAACTGTCCACGTGCTTTCAGAGCACTTCAAATCCCCACCTGCTCCTGACCTGGCATTTCAGATCTGCCTTAATTTGGCAGCAAATGGAGTCTCTCGCGCTGGAGTCTAACAAAGATCTCCCCGTCCTCTTAATTTTCCTGAAGTCCCCCCGGGCACAGTTGACCTTTTAATCCATTGCACACTTCAGACTCACTTGCACTTGGGCCGTTTTGTTTGTGGTGCTGTCAGGAGGCCAGGAATTGCCTTTTCCTGGGATGCCCTTGCAGAATTCCACGTCCCAGACCCGCAGATCTCACTGTTTGAACAGGACTGGGTGCAACACACGGGTTTGTGTACAGAGGGAAGGTGGCACAGAGGTCACAGGGTTTAGTTCTGGGAGTGCTGTGAGCGTTTTATCCCTCATTTCCATTATTTAGGAGGATGAGCTGACTCTGAACATGCTGGGTCTGCTTGAGCACTCCATGAACAACCGTGGCATTGCAGGGACAGGACAAAGGGAATGGGTTCAAGCTGAGAGGGGAAGTTTAGATGGATATTGGGAAGGAATTCTTCCCTGTGAGGGCAGTGAGGGGCTGGCATGGAATTCCCAGACAAGCTGTGGCTGGCTCTGGATGCCTGGGAGTGTCCAAGGCCAGGTTGGAGCAACCTGGGCTGGTGGGAGATGTCCCTGCCATGGCAGTGGGTGGGCTTTAAGGTCCCTCCAGCCCGGACTATTCCATGATTTTGTGACTTCTTTGTGAGATCAGGAGTTATTCCCCACTTTTCAGAACTGGGCAATCAGCTGAGGGAATGAGGAAGGATTTTTATAGCAGGAAGCATAAAAAGCAGGACAGCAGGTGATGGGGAGTAATCCCTGTGGGATCCCAGAGCTCAGCTGGGATCATTTTGGTCCTGCCGTGACCAGGGGATGCTGGAAGGGCTGAGCAGTTACTGGTTATACTGGTTCTGGGGAGGAAAGGGACAAAGCAGATCCCTGGGATAAGATGCCAGTCACCCCATGGGTCATGGCAGCTTCCAGCAGCCCGACCACACTTAGGGGTGTTGCACAGGATTTCATTCCCACTTTTTCCTCTTCCCCAAACATCCATGGCTCCTTCCTGGAAGGAGGAGCAGTGCATGTGCATCCCAGGGCTGGTGCTGTTCCTCTGGCATCTCCAGAGCAGGATTGTCTCCCTGCAGCTTGGCTGGCAGACGGGCAGAGCAGAGGAGAAGCTGGTTCCTTCTCCTGCCCAGCTCCTTGTGGGAGTGGAGCCGTGCAAAGCCAAGGAGGGAACTTACATAAAAGTTCTTGGCTGCTCCGGTTGGCGCAGCCTCAGATTTTATCTTGCATAACTTCGCTCGCTGGGGCCACCAGGAAGAGGCAAAGCTGTGGTTCCAAAGCTTCCTGTGGGTCTCTGGGTGGTGGGATGGGCAGCGCCGCTGCTGGAGTCACGTCCCATCCCCTCTAAGCTCTCTGACCCCGCTTCTAGGGGCTCTTCACTCTTTAGGGTGGCTCCTGAGGTGGGGGCCGTGTTTGAGGGCCTGGGGTGATGGGGAGTGTGGAGGGGAATGGTTCCTGTTTCTCCTCATTCGCTTCCTCATTCGACCTCCACGTGCTCTCTCCCTCCCTTTGGAGATGCCAGGACAACCACACTGTTTGTACAACTGCTTACAAATTATTTTCCAGCATCTGGAGTCCCAAACCCTCCCTCACCCCAAGCCCTGGACCCACATTTCCACACAGCTCCTTTTGCCCCTTCCACCTTATCCTATTTGTGCAGCTTCCCTGCCCTCCTCCCACCTCATGATTCCTGCCATCCTTACACTGATCCAGAGGATGAAAATAGATGAAATCCTGCAAAATCCACATCCAGAGGGGCCATTTCTTCCTTTTGGAGCATGGCTGAGCTCTGGTTGCCGTAAAACCCCTCGTCCAGCCTGTGTTGGTTCAGGGAGGTCTTGCTTAACCCTCTTTAATTGGCAGCTCAGTGGGGAAGGCTCTGCGTGTGCTCTGGAGCGTTCCAGGCATGTGGGACACGGGAGCACAACTTCCAAAGGGACGGATGAAAGCGGGGCCACCTTATTACAGGCACCGGCTCCCCTTTCATTAGATCAGCTCTTGTTCTCCTCGCTCCTGCAGCTCCTGTGATTGGAAAATTGATGTTCAGCTCTGAAGAATCCCTTGTGCAGCCTCATCCTCCTTTTCCCTTGGGGGTTTTCAGGGTAAATTGCTGCTGCATTTGCATTTAAAAGGGTGGCACCACTGTTCCTCTCTGTGTTATTTGTCTAGCTCTGTCCTGTTAAATTCAGCAGGCCTTGGCATATCATGGAATTACTGAGGTTGGAAAAGACCTGTAAAAGCAACTCTTGCTTTTTTGGGGGGTCATATTGGTCCTCCTGCCTGAATTGGTGGTTCCTGGTTATCCTGGTTTTGCTGATATTTGCGTGAAACCTGTTTTAGTTCGACATTATGATTGTCCCCTTGGAATTAGGAGGCAGCTCTGGAGCAGGTGCAGACAGCATGTAGTCTGGGTTTTTTAGCCAAGCTGAGGGGTGAATTCATAGCTCTGGCAGCTCAGCTCTTCTTCTTTCAGGATTTGGGGAGCATAATTTCAGTGGAAATGCAGTTTCTGAGTGTCTGCTCCGGGCTGGGAAGCAAAGCCTTCCTGCCACAGACGCCACCATTCCTCTCTCCCAAAAAAAAAAAAAAAGAAAAAAAAGACGTGTTGCTGACTTCCTTGCCTTGTCTTCCCTTTCCAGCTGTCCCATTCCCCCCCACGCAGCGGCTCACTCTGAAGGAGGTGTTTGAGGATGGGAAGCCGAGGCTCGACGTCCTCAAGAGCCACTTGGTGAAGGAAGGGCGGCTGGAGGAGGACGCGGCCCTCAAGATCATCAACGACGGCGCCGCCATCCTGAGGCACGAGAAGACCATGATCGAGGTGGAGGCCCCTATCACAGGTCAGAGAGCCGAATAAGGGCCTCCTGGGATAACACCAGCAGGGCTGACACTGGTTTTTAACTGTGTTCCTTCCACCCAGAGGGGTTTTTTTAACTCTCAGAAGAGAGGGTTGTGCTGGCGGAGGTCGAGGCCGCCCCGCTCGGCTCCTTGTTGCTGTCGTGACCTTTCTTTTCTTGGCGTGTAATTGTGTCCCTCTTTTGTGCCGTTCTTGCTCCCCCAGTGTGTGGTGACATCCACGGGCAGTTTTTTGACCTGATGAAGCTGTTTGAAGTCGGAGGATCACCCAATAACACCCGCTACCTCTTCCTGGGAGACTACGTGGACAGAGGCTACTTCAGTATAGAGGTGACAAAGAGAGTTGAGCTTGCTGCTAAAGGAACCAAAAGCGTGGGGCCTCAGTTAAAATACAGCTCAGGATCAGTTAAATGCAGCTTGAAATCAGATAAATTCAGCTCAGAATTAGTTAAATACAACTCAGAGTCAGCTCAAACAGCAAAATCAAACCTCCTGTTCTGGATTTACCCTCCAGTCGAGCTCTGCATGGAGTGAAAATCCCGTTGGTGACTCCCAGTGTGATTTAGGGCAGGAAAGTGATGCCCCAGTGTGGGGACTGAGCACTGGATCCTCCCCCAGTGGCGATGGTGGGGTTAAAGGCTGAACTCTGCCTTCTGGAGTGGAGTTTTAATGTCACTTGGAGCTGTCACTCAGGGAAGCAAGAGGGAGAGCTGATTGTGTGTTGCAGGCAACGGGATCCCACCAGGCAAGTGGGAAGCAAATGCTGGAAAACTTGCAGGATTCAGCTGAGCAGGGAGAAGATAAGTGTCACACGACTGAGCCTCTGCTTCCCCCTGAAAGAATCAGCCTTGGATTGGGGTCAGGACAAAGAGGGAATTGCTGGGGTTGTGTTGGGAGCTTTGCAGCTCCCTGGGATTCCACAGAATTGGGCAGCGCTGGGAGTTGTTGGTGTGAAGGACAGAGGAATCAGTGTGTCCCTGTGGAGACCTGGGATGGGACAGGATGGGGACAGCTATTAGTAAATGCCACAAATCCCAAGGGGCTGCAGCCCTCTGGATTCACAGAGGCGGTGGAGAAGGAGTGGAAATGGGAGTGTTTATCCCAGTTGGAAGCAACGCAGCGAAAGGGCTTTTGGGGAAACAGGGGCGTGAAAGCAGGGCTGGAATTAGCAGAGGAGGCGGCTTCTCCTGGAAGAGGGAAGGTTGCAGGAATAGCTGAGCCGTTGGTTCTGCAGAGGAGTCGTTCCCAGTTAAATCCTGGGGAGGAACTCTGCTGGATGAGCGCAAGTGGCTCTTTGAAGGCTTCTGCAGAGGATTTAGGGAGAGCACTGTGCTGGAGCAGCCCCTGGCTCCCTCCCAAGCCTCGGGAGTTCTGACAGGCAGCCAAGGTGTGACGAGGAGCCCTTTCCGGGGAAGCGGGTCCGGATGCTGGGAAGGTGGGGTTGGGCTGCTGGGATTTGTGGTGGTGCTGGCAGGAGGAGCCCCACAACCCCCCAGGGAGGAAGGGGAAGGACATCCAACTGCTCCTTTTCAATGGCTCGGCTTGTGCCAGTTGGGATTGCACTTGGAGTGTATTTACCTGGAAAAGAGATTATATTCCAGCCCAGGATTGATCAGACATGGAGATTTTACTCGCAGATCTGCGGGAGCGCTGTGCATCAGTGCCCTGCTCTCTCCGTGCTGGGACAGTCACAGGATCCTGGAATGATTTGGGTGGGAAGGGACCTTAAAGCTCATCCCATTTCACCCCCTGCCACGGGCAGGGACACCTTCCACTATCCCAGGTTGCTCCAACCTGGCTTTATTAAGGATTATTTAAGGCCAGATAAGTGTCTGGAGTTGCTCCTGGGGCTGTTGTAAACGGGCACTAATCAATCCCTGGGCTCAGGGCCCTGGAAAGGGTTCGGGGCAGGAAGCATCCAAGGCATGCAAGTGTGGAAACCTCCCTCATTCCTCATTCCAGCCCCTCAGGAGCCCTCGAGGGCTGTTGAAGGTCCTTCACTCTGTGCCCCACTGGTACCTGGCATCCTCCACATCCTTGGAAAGAGGCTGCAGGCCCCCCAGGGAATTGTGTGTGTGTGTCCAGGAAGAGATGTGGTGTCAAATTCCATCCCTTTTCACTTCAAAACCCTTCCAAATGTTCTTCTAAAATCCCTCTCCTGCAAGTTGCCAGCCCTCCACACATCCCAGATCCTCCCCTGTATCTCTGCTTTGCTTGGGTGCCAGGGCTGGTTCTTTCTCAAGTCATTGGGTTCATTTATAGCAACTTCCAACTTCTCCTGCCAGCCCTGAGAAGTGACATTTAGCTTGCAAACACGGGAGGTTAAAGCTTTAAATCCCAGAATAATTATAAATGGGTTTGTTGGGAGCATTCCTCCTGGTAACAGATGCAATAAAACATGATTCTGCTACCGGTGTTGGCCCCGTTCGCTTGCAGGAACTCAGAATTAATCAAGTTTTTAATGTGGGGTTGAATTCCAAGTGAGACACAGATGGTGCTTTACAGCTCCTTGGGTTTGGGGATCAGCTGGAGTGAGTCATGCAGAGCTTACCTTGCAGGTTCAGTGCTTTAACACCATCGTGGCTAAGCTGTGTGTACCAGGAACCGACTGGAAACCGGTTTATTTGGGGTCTGGAGGTTGTTTCCAGCTGGTTCCTGGGGATCTGTGCCCCAAATCAGCAAGATCTGAGAGTGTCAAACTGCTCACAGACTTTGTGCTTCCCACCCCCAGGCATGTGCAGGTTCTGTACCATCTCAGCCTCCAGGGTAAGCTCTTATTAGAGGCTTTAATCCAGATCTTGGGGCTGCTGTCATTCTGGATTGTCCTTCCAGCGCTCCAGATCGTTGGATAACATTCCCTGTGTGCCATGCCAGCTGATTTCCCCCTCAGCCTGGCAGTGCAGGCAGAGCACACACACAGGGAGGGTGAGCACTCCTGCTTTCCAGCCCCTTCCCTCAGGCTTTCTGGGAAGCTGCCCTGGAACATTCCTGGTCCAAACACCCCGTTTCAGTCTCGACTTCGGGCTGTGCCTCATCGAAAAGCCTCTTTTTACAGGTGGTGCTGCTCAGCTGGGGGGCTGTGGAGAGCCCTTTTCAAAAGGCAGAAAGCTTTGCTAAGCTTGTTTTTTGGCTCAAATTTCCTGTTTTGAACTCGAGCTTCACGTGACTGTGGCGTAAGCAGAGAAACGAGGCGTGGAGGGGGGTTGGGGGGGAGGGAGAGTCAGTGGGGGGGATAAAGTTGAATTTTTCGGCTGTTTAATGGACAAATGGCTGCCTGCTCCGCTGCATCCCGGTGGAACATCTGGAGCAAACAGCTGGTTTAGCTTTGCTGCTCTGTGAGTGGGGCTTTGGAAAGGGAAAAAAAAACAAAAAAAAAACAACAAACCTGCCCCCCCCCTCCCCAGCCCCCAGCTGGTTTGGGTGGACTGAAATCTCGTTTGTCATTTTTTGGAGTCGGCCCTAATATAGAGAGAAATCCGGGCAGCTTTTCCCCCACTGCTGCCTTTGGCCAAGATAGGATCCACTGCCCGGTATGGAGATGGGTTCCTCTCCAGGTTCCACTTTGGGTGTCTTCCCAGAAATGCTTCAGGAAGCCTCAGGCTGATTAGTCCCCCTGGAAAAGGGTTTTTCTGACTTTTTTTTTTTTATTATTATTTCTGACCTCCTCCTTCCCTGTCTTGCAGTGCGTGCTGTATTTATGGAGTTTAAAGATAAACCACCCCAAAACCTTGTTCCTCCTTCGAGGGAACCACGAGTGCAGGCACCTCACAGAATATTTCACCTTCAAGCAGGAATGTAAGTACCAGCAGTGCGAGGAGCATTTAAATAAGTTTTAAAAATATGTTTTCAAATATATTTTAAAAAATATATGTTGGAAAGGTGTGGGCCTTAATTTTTGTGCCTCTGAGCACAAAAATTAATATCAGAGCTGTATATATAATGACAAGATTAATCAGATTACTATCAGACTAATAATCAGATTAATATCAGATTAACACCAGATCAAATTAATATCCAGAGCTGTCAAAACCTGTTGTCTGTTTTTCCTGCTTACACAACTCTTGTCTTTCAGCCCCTGCTCTAAAAAATACCCCAAAAAACCCAAATATGTAAGTCCTGCAGAGCACCAAGTGTGTGTCGATGTGGCCTTTTGGTTGCAAAGAAGGGAGCGTGGCTGGAAGAAACGGGAACACATCTCCCCTGAGGAACCAGTCACATCCTCCCCTCCCTGACTGCCAGGCCCAGCAGCATTTAATCACTGCCAGAAGTGTTTCAGCTCCGGATTGTGCAGCTGGGATCGGTGATTCCAGTTGGGAACAAGGGGAAGGGTTTGCTCCTCCCTGTTTGTACTTTGGGAGAATCGTTTACCTTTAGGATTGTTTTGGTTACCCCTTGGGCCCTGGGTGCTGTTGGGTGGGGGAAGGCTCAGGGGGGACGAGGTGATAACTAGCGGCTGTTTGCTCAGGAATGAGCTGGAAAACACCTCTCAGCTCCCTGCTGGATCCCGGAGCCATCAGGTGGGGCAGGGGAGCTTCTGCAGCTGAGCTCAGTTCCAACCAGGCCACAGGGCTCCCTTTCCTTTTCCCTTCATCATCCTTAAAAACCCTGTTGGTGTCTGTGAAATAAGGATGTTTCTGATGCTGCAAGAGCCAAACTGCTTAGGAAAGGCCGTGGCATCTGTTTTAATGCGTGGAAAAAAAATCATCTTCCCCAAGCCTTTTTTCTCTTTACATCCAACGAACATTTTCTAAGCTGATATTTTCACTAATCCACAGGTGCAAAGTTGGAGTTGTGGGCCGCAAATGCAGAGTTTCCATCTCCCCTTAGGAGCTGGGCTCCTGGAATTCATTTCCCGGCACTCTGGCTGATCACAGCTTGATGTGATTCCTGTTCCCCAGGTCGAATCAAGTACTCGGAGCGAGTGTACGATGCGTGCATGGATACCTTTGACTGTCTTCCTCTTGCTGCCCTCCTAAACCAGCAATTCCTGTGTGTCCACGGAGGACTGTCTCCAGAAATCACGTGTCTAGATGACATTAGGAAAGTAAGTCATCTCCGTGGGGCCTTCCCATCGCCTCCAGTTCCAACCTGGGGTGGGATTAATGGCTTGACTCCTGCACGGCATTCCAAGGGGATGGAGGAGGGTTGTGTGTGTGTGTGTGTCCTGCCACAGCTCCCACCAGCAGCCTCCTGATGTTGTGTCCCGTTTTCCAGTTAGACAGGTTTAAGGAGCCTCCAGCCTTTGGTCCAATGTGTGACCTGCTCTGGTCCGATCCCTCCGAGGATTACGGCAACGAGAAAACGCTGGAGCATTTTGCCCACAACACTGTGCGGGGCTGCTCCTATTTCTACAGGTAAGAAAGGGGCTTTGGAGGGCACTTTGTCTGCCCCAAAATCAGACCACCCTGTGGTGGTGCTTTGCAGTGTACCTGAAATACTCTTCTCTTGGCTCTGATGCACGAATTACTATTTGGTTTTATCCTTCTGAAATATTGAGCTCTCCTTGGGTAACTTACTTCATGAAATAGTGGTCTGAGGCAGCAGAGATGCTCCTTTGTCTGGCAGGCTGCCCCATGAGTGGCTTTCAGTACCAGGATCTCTGGGAAATTATCTTCTCCTGCCTAAAAAAGCAGCGTTTGTGCTGACAGACCACTTGTAGGGCGGGTTTGTCACCGGGGGGCTGTTTAACAGAACCCTTTGCAATTAATTTTTGAGTGATCTACTGGCATTTTTGGGGGTGCTGGACAGAAACCAGGTGGTCCCTTGAAACCAAGACCACACGTTGTCTGTGCTCTCCTTTGCCTCCTGCTGAGTTACGCTTGCTTTTTGTTTTCCAGTTATCCTGCAGTGTGTGAATTTTTGCAGAACAATAGTTTGTTATCCGTAATCCGAGCTCACGAAGCCCAGGATGCTGGGTGAGTGCTGCAGCCCTGGGAGGTTTTGGGCAGGTTTGGGCTTTCCCTTGGCAAGGTTTTAACCACCTGCCCTGTTTTCCAGGTACCGAATGTACAGGAAGAGCCAGACAACAGGCTTTCCCTCGCTAATCACAATCTTCTCTGCACCAAATTACTTAGATGTCTATAACAACAAGGGTAAGGAGCTCTTGAGGGGAGGTCAGGGAATCCCTCTCCCATTCCTTGGGCACCTCCAGGGGTGGGGACTCCACCACCTGGACAGCCCTTTCTGATGCCTGACAGCCCTTTCCATGAAGAATTCCTCCTGATGTCCAACCTGACCCTCCCCTGCCACAGCTTAAGGCCGTTCCCTCTCCTCCTGTCCCTTGTTCCCTGGGAGCAGAGCCCGACCCCCCCCCCCGGCTTCCCCCTCCTGTCAGGGAGTTTTAGTGAGAAATAAAGTCTCCCTTGAGCCTCCTTTTCTGCAGGCTGAACCCCTCCAGCCCCTTCCCCAGCTCCATTCCCTTCCCTGGACACACTCCAGCCCCTCAATGTCCTTCCTGAATGGAGGGGCCCAGAACTGGACACAGCCCTCGGGGGGGCCTTCCCAGTGCCCAGCAGGGAGGGACAATCCCTGCCCCGCCGCTGCCGCCACAGTGGTTTTGATATAAAAATACACTATTTTTGATATAAAACCCCTCTCCTCCAGTTGCATTCTTGGGCATGAAATGAAAGAGAGCTTTGTGTGCTGAACTGAAGTGGTTGGTTCCCTGACTTAATGTGTTACTGTGGTAATTAGCTGTCGAGTCATAGAGCCTGGAATAAAGCTCTCATTCCCAGCCACGGGACAACGGAGCCCTTTTGTGGGACGCTGCCATCCAAGAGAAGCTGATAGTGTAGGCAAGCTTCCCACTTCCACCCTGCCTCTTAAATCATGAGGGGATTTTCCTCAGCTCTGGGGTTTTTTAACCCCTCCCTTTGGATCTTTTGTTCTGTGTTTTGCATCAGCTTTTTTCAGAAATTCTTCCCTGGGAGGCTGGGGAGGCCCTGGCACAGGTTTGCCCAGAGAAGCTGTGTCTACCCCATCCCTGGAAGTGTCCAAGGCCAGGTTGGAGCAACCTGGTCTAGTGGAAGGTGTTCCTGCCTGTGGCAGGGGGTGGAACAAGATGAATTTTAAGGTCCCTTCCAACCCAAACCATTCCAACTCCTGAATTCCCAGTGCCCATGGACACGTGTTCTCTTGGCTTTTTTTCTCCCCCAGCTGCTGTACTGAAATATGAAAACAACGTCATGAACATCAGGCAGTTCAACTGTTCCCCTCACCCCTACTGGCTTCCAAACTTCATGGATGTCTTCACATGGTCTTTGCCTTTCGTAGGGGAAAAGGGTAAGAGGGGTTTGGATTTCTGTTCTGAGTTCCCAGTGACGGGTCACAGTTCCCTGAACCTTAGAAATGTGTCCCATATGTGATGGGAGAGTTTTGCAGCTCATTGGTAGCAGGTAGCACTGGAAAACAGTTCAAATTCAAGGAAATCTTCGTATTCCTGGTTCAGATTCTTGGAAAAACCGTTGTTTATGCTTGTTTTAAAGACCTTTTAGGTTGCTCCCCTCTTGCTCTGTCTGCATTGTTGATGGGGCTGATCTTGGGTTGTGTAGCCCCACCTTGGAATCTGGAGACATTTCTCTTCTTCTGGGTTTGCAACAGAGGAATTAAAAACTCCTGTTGGCTCGTGGCCCACCAAAAAGGAAACATTCATTTCAATCAGAGGCTTATTTTGTTCCGAAGGGGGGCGAGGCAGCTTAAAATATGCCCAAGACTCTGCCTCAGCTTTCCAGCAAGAGGATTTTTTTTTACATCTCCCGATGACTTTAAATTCCACCCCGGTGTTGTGTGTTTGGAGTGTACCTTCAAACTCTGAACTGCCAAAGGGGTTTTGTTGGGTTTTTTTTGACTTTGAGGCACTAAAAGTCTAATTTCCCCCTACCTTGACTCTTCAAATTCAGCATTCCTGGAGCCAGGTGGGGGTCGGGATGGGGAGGGGGGACCTTGGACGAGCTCAGGCTGTTCTGCAGGAATGTTGGCACCTCAGTCCCCACGTCTGGTTCATCTGTGCTGTGCTTGGACTGCATCCACCTCCTTGGCAGAAGATGGAGCGTGTGTCGTCTGCTCTGGTACCGCTGCGAGGTACCAGCAGCTGCGGCTAAAAGTGTCTTTTAGGCTCCCACTTCCAGGGAATAAACGACCTTGAAAACCATTCCCTGTCGCAGCTCGTCCTCCAGGATCCCTCCCTGCTCCAGGGTGTGCCCCAGGCCTCTCTGACCCCCCCTGTCTGTGCCTCTTGCAGTCACCGAGATGCTCGTTAACATCCTCAACATCTGCTCCGACGACGAGCTGATTTCGGACGGGGATGAGACGTTGGAAGGTAAAATATCACTGTTGGGACCTGCTGACAGCAGGGGAGGGAAGGTGGGGAAAGGTGTTTGATGCCTGAGCAGCACTTGATTTATAGCTGGATGCCCAGCTCTCCAGTTCCGTTTTGGCCAAACCTTGTGCAGTTCTGGGTAGGAAACGTTTATTTTATTTTTTTTTTCCTCGTTTGCTCTTCAGTCACAGAGAAATTAAATGGCATTCACTGCGACAGACACTTCTTGCCAGCTACTCTGGGAATGGTTTCCTGCTCCTTACACAGGCTGCTGGTTATTTTTTTTTCCCCCAATTCAAAATTTTCTGCACCAAAATATCCACCCAGTCTTCTCATCTGTTGCAGTGAGCTCCTGTGTAAAGCAGCTTCTCACGTCACCCCTCTCCAAAAAAACAGAATGCCGTTTTTGGCCTGGATTTTAAGCTGTGCATGAAAGGGACGAATCAGTGGCTGAGCTGACGTGCAGTTTGGAATTTGGGGGGCCTCAGGATGCCGTGGGGGGGCAGTGAGAAGTGGGGGGCCCTGAGCTGCTTCGGTCCCGGCTGGAGACTCTTAACCCGCTTCTCCCATTGCATTTCGTTTTTGCTTTTTTTGGTTTGGTTTTTTGTTTTGTTTTGTTTTTTTAGTTTTTTCTTTCCTCCTTCCCATGAAAATTAAATTTGTTTCTTCTATCTCTGTCTTCATCTACTTGTTTCTTGGTGTCTCCTCTCCCTGAAGATCACTACATTTCAAGCTATCCGAAAGGTACCCAGCTAGAATTTGCTACGAGCTTAATTTTCACTGCCTGTGCCACCAGATCCTTGAAGTGGATTTCCAGAGCTGACTAGTCGGGCAGGCTCTTCATCCCCTTTCAGTTTTAACATAAGCTCCATGTGTTTTTTTAACCTTTCTGCGTTCCTCCAGGAGCCTGAGGAACGGGGTCACGTTTCTACCTGATTCTGAATGCAGCCACGTAGTGCATGGCTGAGCCATGGTGCATGTTAGACCCGGGTTTGGCTTTCCTGTCCTCATGTGTACTGGGCCATGTGAGGAATCTCAGCTGAGAGGAGATGGATTTGTGTCCCCCCCTCCCCGTTTTACCTGGATTTTTTTGGTTTGGTTTCAGTTCCCTCCATGCTTTTTCTCTCCCGTCGGGCCCGTGGAGCGGGAGGGGAGTCCACCTCTCCCCCCTTTGTGTTTGTGTGGGGTCCGAGCGGAGCTGCCAGGCCCTGGCCAGCCCTTCCCTGTGCTCCTTGGATGCCAAAGCTGATGCTTGCGTGGCACAGCAGTGCCCATCAGCCGTCAGACCCCTCCGTGCTCTGCCTTGCAAAACTGTGTCTACATGGCTGAGTCATTTGTGTTACATCCTGTGTAGTGTGAGCCAACCTGGTGAGCTTCCAACAGAGACCTCCCCAGATCCGTGTCCCTCGGTGGTTCTACTCTCTCTAGAGCTCTCGAGTCCGTGTGCCATCTCGCTGGTGTTGCCCTTCTCACTGCCATCCTGATGCCATCCTGATGCCATCCTCCAGCACCGTTCTCTCTCTGGTGTAGCTGTGAATCTGTAAACCATGATTTCTTTTCCTGGAGTCAGGCAGGTGCTTCATACTGGCATCCCCGTGGGATAGCAGGAAGCCTCCCAACGTGCTGCTCTGTGCTCTTTTCTCTCCCTTAGGCGGGACAACAGTCCGTAAGGAGATCATCAGGAATAAGATCAGAGCCATTGGGAAGATGGCACGTGTGTTCTCGGTTCTTCGGTAAGGATGGGTTTGATTTGGGGGTTGGGTGACAGGGGAATGTCAGTCAGTCAGGAACCTCACAAAATGCCCGGTGTGAGCATTGCACTGACCTCTCTGAGCTCCTTGTGTCGCTGTTCCCCACAGGGAGGAGAGTGAGAGCGTGCTGACCCTCAAAGGCCTGACCCCCACAGGTACCCTGCCCCTGGGAGTGCTCTCGGGGGGCAGGCAGACCCTCCAGACCGGTGAGTGTCCCTGATCCCCCCCACCCTGCTCTGCTCCACCTGCCCCAAACCCCCCTGCCCAGCCCCCACAGGCAGCCTGGAGGGTGCCAGGGGACCCCAGGGATGGCTCAGGCCCACGGGGAGGAAGGATCCCGAGCCAGGAAGGAGCAGAGGTGTAGGTGGGGATGTGGAGAGACGCCAAGGCAGTCCCTGTGTACCCCAGAGGAAGGAATGCCACAGCACCCTGCCCAAAGCATGTGCATTGCTTAACTGTATGTTTTGCAAGGATTTTTTTATCCTTTATTTCCCTCCTGATGCTGCATGGTGCACATCCTCTGCCTCACCTTGCTGCTGCTGCTGCTGTGTGACAGCCTCTGTGTGAATGTGACAGTGACACACCTTGTTTGTTCTTCGTTAACTCCCCCCACCTCCCCCAAAACCGCCCCTGGGAAATTAGGAATCCCGAACACAGGAAGGCTTAGCCAAAGGAATGAGATGCATCCAGGCCTGGATGTTTTATATTAAGACTCCTCTCAGGTTTTGATCTGGTTTGGGAGGTTTCTTTCCGCTTTGCTACCTTCCCTCAGTGTTGGTGGAGGGCTGGGAGCAGGATCCAATCCATGGGCTTCCCACTCACAGAGCAGGGAGGGACGTTGGCTGATGGTCAGGGAATGAGCTGTCCCAGTAACGTGTCCCCAGAGGGAATCCTGTAATCTAGTGTTTTAATCCTTTCCTGCCATCCTTTGAAGGCTGGCATGTCCCCAGCTTCCCTCTTCCCATGGGCACCGGGGATTTCCTGCAGCTCACACAGGGACGAGGCCGGGGCTGCCTGGATTAAATAGTTCACGAGTAGGAAACGTGTAAATACTGCTGCCTGCTCCCAGGGAGGGTGCAGCATCACTCCCAAACTCATGCATTTCTCTGCCCACAGAGGAGGATGGATTATTTTTTTTTTTCCCCTTTTTATTTTTTATAGAAACCATCGTGGTCCTGTCGCCCCAGTTCTGGGAACAGAGCCTGAGTGGGAAGGTGGCTGTTGCAGCAGCTTTGTCTCTGTAATCTGACAGCACAGGGTGATGCTGTGATGTTCTCCAGCCCCTTCCCCTCTCGGGGGGTTCTCTGAGGGGTACCACGGACCTTCCCCCTCCCCCCAAAATAGGCATCTCCCCAGGACAGAACAAACAAGCTGGGCCTTTGCTCTGCCTTACCCGCCCTGCCCACTGCCTCTTCCTACAGCTGCAGGCTCCCCCTGCTTCCCTCAGCACCCCCCTGCTTCTCCTGCCCTTCTCACCCCCAGTTCCCTGTCCTACCCCCTTCTCCCACCCCTTTTTCCCCGTCCTGCCCTCTCTCCCACCCCGCCCCATTCCGCACATCCCTTTGCACTCCCGGCAGCCTCCTGGTGAATTTATGGGAGCTCCGTCCACCCAGTGAGGAGAAAAGGGGGCTGCCCCCCTTTAGGGGTGCCTCTGCACCCCAAAAAAGGAGAAACAGGGCTGCAGGTAGCACTGGAGGGAGGCCCTTCCCTCCCGAGCCCCCCCCCCAGCTTTCCACAGCACAGCTTAGCAAAATCAACGGAATGAAGTCACCAAATCCAGGGCAAAGCTGTTCAGCCACAGCTTCATCCTTCCCCTGTGGCCTCCCAAGGACCGTGCGGCCTTTGTACTGGGGCCAAAGTGGTGTTTTGAGGCTGAAAACCAGAGAATCTGTTCTAGGGAAGGGCCTTCTCCTCCCAGATGTTGAGTCAGGGCCTGCCAAAACTTGGCCCGTTGCTGCAGCGGATTTAGGAGAGGGGACCTTGCTCAGCTCGGTGGTGCCTCGTTGCTTGGTAACACTTTCAGGGGGTGGAGCTGGAGCCAAACTGGGTTTGAAGCATCGGCCTTATTTTTTCCTCTAACTCAAGGCATCGGTAGCGGAGCAGCCCAGTAACTGCTGCTCGTCCTTCCCTGGAAAACAGGCTGTCCCTCTGCTCCCAAACATCCTCACATCCCCCAGGATCACTTCCCTCACACAGCCGTGGAGGCAGGGGGTGAATTCCACATAATTTACCTCCTGGAAGCAGCCAGAGCCCCTACCTGGGAGCAGGGGGGGTGAGACCCACGGCTTAGCCCGAGGTTATCCCTTGTCCTTTCCGTGCGCCCCGGGGGCGCGCAGCAGGAAGCCCCCTCTCTCTGCTTCTCTCTTCTTCCATCGGATCAGCCTGTGTGGGGAGGAAGGGAGACTCCCCCTGCAACCCTGAGGGAGTCCCCTTCCACCCTCCTGTCCACCTGCTGTCACCTCTCTCCTCCCTGTCGCCCGTGGTTTGGCAGCACCGGGGCTGGGGGAGCGTGGGCTCTGCGTCGCAGCCATGATGTCGGATCACTCACTGTCACTCTGTTTTGTTTTTTTTTTTGTTTTCTTTTTTTTTTTTTCCTGTCTTCATTTTTGCATGCCACTGTTCTTCTGTATTGCAGCCACAGTAGAAGCGGTAGAGGCACGGGAAGGTATGGCTAGAACCCGGCGAGAGACCCCAAACCATCTCCGTGTGTGCGTGCGCTGACCCTAAAGAGCTTTATCAGCCCTTACAGAAGCTTTTTACTCTTGCATCACCAGAAGTGGGGGGAGGATGAGGCCCTGCTGGGGACCAAAAAAAAACAAAAACCAAAACAAACAGCCAGTGGTTTGGTTCGAGGCTGTTTGAGCCTCAGTGAGGGTGTTGCTCAGTGAAACCCCTTTCTTTGGAGGGTTGCCAGGGCGGTTTTGTGTTCTGGTGGTTGGGGTCCTGCAATCTGATCTCATGGGGGACTCCAGGCTGCCAGCACGGCCAAAATCCTTAGGAAACAGAGGATTTTGTGGTGCTGATGTAACCCCTGCCTTCTGGGCCGAGGTGGAGAGCAGGTTTCTCCCTGTGGAGTGTAGAAATGGCAGATCCCCGAGGATTTTTTCCTCGATTCTGAATGGGGGCCACACAGCTCTGTAGAGGCTTTGCTTACCAAGGGAAGTTGTTTGTAATGCAGCCAAGTCCTTGGAAAAGATTTGGCACGGCCCCCTTTTTCCTTAAATTACGTGTAACACAAAGAAGTTTCACATTTGGTCCAGATCATCACGGACGTGCTCGGCCTCGCAGTGATGGAACAGGGACGTGAAAGCCCTCGGGGGGGGATCCATCCCTCCCAAAACTGCCCCATGTGTCTCCTGGTCATGCAAGAGCTCTGCCTTTGTGATCCAAGGATTAGCTGTTCCCTCTCTGGTGTTGCAGTGTGTGGTTTGTGTCGGAGTTCAGAGCCTTGTGGTGGTGTCTTTGTTCTGTCGGTTTGGTTTGGCTTTTTTTTTTTTTTTAGTGTTGTTATTATTTTTTTAGTGTCGTGTTGTTCAGCTTGGAACTTTTCCTGAGATTTCACTCTTTGGGGACAGCGAGCGCTTGTCTGGTTCTTCAGGTTCCTGCTGCTGGATTAAAAAAGGGCAGGTGGGATGTTGGGAAGGAATTCTTCCCTGTGAGGGTGGGGAGGGACTGGGATGGAATTCCCAGAGAAGCTGTGGCTGCCCCATCCCTGGGAGCGTCCAAAGCCAGGTGGGAGCAACCTGGACTAGTGGAAGGTGCCCTTGCCCGTGGAACTGGATGATTTTAAGGTCCCTCCTGACCCAAACCATTCCATGATTCCATGGAAAAGAGAAGCTCTGAGGGAGCAGAGCGAGTCGCCGCGGTTGAATCCCAGTCTTTGCTGCTGTGATTCCCACCAGCGAATTCCAAACCCACCAAATCCCAAAACCACCACCCCCCCTCCCCCAAAAACATCCCGGTGGATCCCAAATCCAGCCAGGCGCTGTACCCAGACGGGCGCTCTCTGTCCCGCTGACCGTCCCGTTCGTGTCCTGCCGTGTTGCTCAGAGGGCTCCTCGCCGCCAATCCCCCCCCGGGCTGGCACTAACACCCCCCCTCCCCTTCCTGCTCCCTTCTCCCCGCAGCCATCCGCGGGTTCTCCCCGCAGCACAAGATCCGCAGCTTCGAGGAGGCGCGGGGGCTGGACCGGATCAACGAGCGGATGCCGCCGCGCAAGGATTCCCTGCACTCGGACGGGCCCGTGAACTTGGTAACCTCGAACTCTGCGGACAAGAACGGCACGGGGAAGAAGCCCCAGTAACGCTGCGAGCGCCCGAACCTGCACCGCTAAAGGATCCAAAACTCAATGAATTTTATTTATTTATTATCGGGGGTGGGCTGGGGGCGAGGGGGGGTTGAAGCCAACGTCACCCGGAGGCACGTCCATAAGTCCAGTTCGCATCCGTTCTGTAAAGGAAGGGCGACCATTTTTGTAATTATTATTAATTTTTTTTTTTTTTTAATTTATGTTCAATATATATAAGAGGAGTCCATTTTTTTTTTTTTTTTTTTTTTTTTTTTTTTTTTTTTTTTTTTTTTTTTTTTTTTTTTTTTTTTTTTTTTTTTAATTTAGAAACCAATCCAACTGCTAGTGCATCCCGGGAATGTTGTGCTATCCGGCTGCCCTCCCCAAGAGGCCAAACCTCTGTGGAGGGGCAAGGGATTAAAAGAAACAAACAAAAAAATCAGTCAAACCAGGCAACTTGGATCGTTGGCTCTGGGACAATTGGGAGCTGGCCTGAGCTTTGCAAAGCAGGTCCTTCCCTTCAGGACAGGGTTGGGTTGGTTTTTTCCTTTTCACACCTGTTTTCCTCCCAGATTTTCCTGTTGTTTTCAAGTCCTTGCCTACCTGCAGCTGCTGCTTTAGCAACCGGTTCCCTGGAAGGCACGTTGTTGATCCATCCCTATTCCAAGGTGACAGCCAGGATTAGCTCTGAAGGACTCCAGGGTGTTAACACCAATCACAGCACCTTTTCCTTCAGGAATTCAGCCTTATTCCAGTGGAATCCCAAACAAAAATTAGGGGAGGGCAGGTGGGGGAATTGCTGCCCCTTGTTGCGGCTTGTTCCAACTCGGAGCAGCCACTTTGCTGCCCGTGCAGCAAAATTCCCTTGGGAATCGCTCTGATTCAGAGCAGAGGAATTATCTCTGCTGTCTGGTGATCTGTGGGAAAGCTGCCAGGCCTGAATTTTAAAGGAAAAGGGGGTGATTTATAACCTGGGGAAGAACAGACCCCCTGTTGTCCCACCACCACATGCTGCTGAGCCCGTGGCACATTCCCTGTTCCCAGCCCTGGAATCGGCCCTTGTGGTCAGTTTGGGGTGGGGCCCCCTCAGTGTCACCTCCCTGTCCCCCCAGGGTGTGTTCTGGGGGGTCTTCCACTCACTGTGGTTGACTTGGGGCATCACCCATGGTTTGCCAGTGGCTATTCCTCTGACTCCAAAGGAGCCGTGGGCACCTCAGCCTTTCCCAGCAGCTGGAAAAGAATTTGGGATAAGATTTGTGGGGATGCTGCCCTTTTGGAAGCACCTCCCTCGGCTGCAGGGAGGGGAGGGAGGTTTGGCAGGAGGCTGGAAGGTATAACTGGGCGGATCTGGGGGAATTTTTGAAAGGGTGTTTGTGCAGTACTATTGAGGGATCTCCAGGGGGTTCCCAGGGGATGCCCCCCATGTGGTGCTGGGGATTTTGGAGCGTAGGTGTGTTCCCTTTTCCTTTGGGAAGGGATTTTGTGAGATTCCCGTCAGCCGCATCGGTTGCCCGGAGCCAAGGAAGCAAACCCCTGGCCAGCTTTCCCTTCTTTCCCACCTTTTCCCATGCTCGAGCCTCTCCCAAGGGACCTTTGCCAACACTTTCTCTGGATCTTGCTGTCTCCCCTTTGTGATTCCAGCGCCAGAGGAAAACAGCAACTTTGCAGGAAGCTTTCAGGCTGTCTTAGGATCACGCCTCCCTTAATCCCACGGCGGCTCCTTAGGATTCTGTGAGCGAACCACTGGGTTTCCACAAGTCACATGCCTCCACTTTTCCCTCTTTTTTTCCTCCCCCTGTTTTTTTTTTTTTTTTTTTTTTACACGCCCACCGCTTTGCAAAAAGTGCGAGAGAGGTGTTTGGAGCGAGCTTCCCTCCCCCCCCCCAACCCCGTCCGAGGCCTGGGGCCAAATTGCCTTTGTCTGTGAGTATTCTTTGTTCTTTAAGGGCCTCCTTTGATCGCCGTGAGCCCCGTGTGTGGTATCCGAGAGCACGGACCGTGCCCGGTGCTGCCCGTGCATGTTCGGGCGTGTTGTGCTGACCCAGGCTGGGATCTCACCCAAGCAGCAGGTTTTAGTCGGGAGATTTTTGGGATGGGAGCCGCGGGACCGCGGGCCTGGCACCCCCTCCTCGCACAGGGAGAGGGGAAACCAGCAGGGCCCGATGGCAGAGGGGGGGTTTGCTTTGCTGGCAGTTTGTCCCCCAACCCTCTTCTCCTGCTCTGTGGCATCACCAGTTCCCCCTCCCCAAAATCCCTGGGGACCCTGTGCTTTGTGGATTGGGGGATCCAGAGCCACCCCTCCATCCCTGGGG